GTGTGATCTGACACAGGTCCCTCTGGCTGCATGTGAGAAGCAGACTGCAGGTGTGAGGGTGGAAGCAGGAAAACCAAGGACTGGCTGCTGCAATGAATCAGGACCGAGACATGGATGAACAAGATAAGAGTGGAGGCAGAGAGGGGCATCAGGGGTGAACAGATTCTGCATAAGAATTTTGGCAGGGAGCAGTGGCTCACTGCAATCTCCACCTCCCGGGTTCAAGTGATTCTCCTGCCTCAGCCTCCCAAGTAGCTGAGATTACAGGCATGTGCCACCACGCCCAGCTAACTTTGTATTTTTAGTAGAGATGGGGTTTCTCCATGTTTGTCAGACTGGTCTTGAACTCTTGACCTCAGGTGATCCACCCACCTGGGCTCCCAAAGTGCTGGGATTACAGGTGTGAGCCACTGCGCCCATCCTGTACAACAATTTCTATTCCTTTGGGTATATACCCAACAATGGGATTGCTGGGTGGAATGGTAATTCTATTTTAAGTTCTTTCAGAAATTACCCAACTGCTTTCCACAATGGCTGAAGTATTTACACTCCCACAGCAGTGTATAAGTGTATAAGCATTCTCTTTTCTCTAAAACCTCACCAGCATCTGTTATTTTTTGACTTTTTAGTAATAGCCATTCTGACTGGTGTGAGACATCTGGGAGACATTGGAAGCATTAGCATGTCCCTAATGATTAGCGATGTTGAGCATTTTTTTATATAACTACATAATTTTAGGTAACAGGGCATCTGTGGCCAGAGGTTCCTTCTTAAGCAGCTTACTTGACCTCTCTGAAGAACCTCTAGCTTTATTGTCATCCAATTTCCACACTCCTACTGGCGACATGACAGCTGACAATCACCATGACAATGACCAGAAGAGACCAAAAAAGGACAAAAAAGAGGTGGCTCTTTGTTTCCAAGAAAATCTCCATCCCTTCCCAAGAAAAAGCGTAAATATTCCTCCCCTTGCTTTTAATGCTCAACACATTCATTAAGAATATCTTTTATCTGTAACCTCCCAGTTTTGGAGAGCTGAGAAGTTGATCTGCAAGCTACACTCCCCACTTCTCCAATGCCACTGGCAATGAAGAAAGCCTGAGCTGCCTGAACCCGGGAGGCGGAGGTTACAGTGAGCTGAGATTTCGCCATTGTACTCCAGCCTGGGTGACAAGAGAGAAACTCTTTCTCAAGAAATAATGAAGGAAAGAAAGGAAGGAAGGGAGGGAGAGAGGGAGGGAAGAAAGAGGATATGAGTAATTACATTTAGGGCTCACCCAGATAATCCAATCAAGGATAATCTCCCTGTCTCAAGACCCTTAATCACACTTGCAAATACCACTTATCCACATAAGGCAATATTTGCAGGTTCAAGAGATTAGGATCTGATATCTTTGCAGGGGTGGGGGCATTTTTCAACCTACCACAAAATATTTCAAACTTAACACATAGTAGGTGCTCAAACACATTTATTTATTCATTGATTTGTTTTATTTTTATTTTGTAGAGATGAGGTCTCCCTGTGTTGCTCAGGCTGGTCTCAAACTCCTGGACTCAAAAAATCCTCCCACCTTGTCCTCCCAAAGTGCTAGGATTATGGTGTGAGCCATCACTCCTGGCAAAAACACATTTATTGAATGAATGAAGGAATGTCCACAGCAAGGTCATAAGGGCTAGCATTGGGTACAACTGTCAGCGAAAACTCAAATTTTTGTGGGGTTTTTTTTGTTGCTTTTGAGACAGAGTCTCACTTACTCTGTCACCAGGCACCAGGGTGGAGTGCAGTGGCGCGATCTTGGCTCACTGCAACCTCTACCTCCCGGGTTCAAGCAATTCTCCTGCCTCAGCCTCCTGAGTAGCTGGGATTACAGGCACGCGCCACCATGCCCAGCTAATTTTTTGTATTTTTTAGTAGAGATGGGGTTTCACCATGTTGGCCTGGGTGGTCTCGATCTCTTGACCCCCTGATCCACCCGGCTTCCCAAAGTGCTGGGATTACAGGCGTGAGCCACCACACCCGGCCCATTCCTTAGACTTTAAGGCAATTTGTATTTCCTTTTCTATGAACGATTCCAATCGTTTGCCTGTTTTTCTATTGGAATGTTGTATTTTATTCTTTATTTTTAGGACCTCTTAATTCTTTTTCTCGAAAGGAAATCGATCCCAGGCAATGGTTGACAGCAAAATTCAATAGAAAGCACTGGCTATGGCAGAGGACACATCTGGATTCAAATCTAGGTTCCATTATTTACAAACTATTTGCCCTTGGGCAAGTTATTTAACTTCACTGATCTTATTTCTTTGTCTATTCCCATTTCACAGAGTAATTTTGAAGTTCAGAAATACTGTACACAAAGAACCTTACATATTATATGCATTCAACATGTTTAGGTTTCTTTCAATTGCCTGTTTATATCCTCAACCCATTTTTTTTTGTTTTGAGATGCAGTCTTGCTCTGTTGCTGCCCAGGCCGAAGTGCAGTGGTGTGATCTTGGCTCACTGCAACCTCCACCTCCCAAGGTTCAGGCGATTCTCCTGCCTCAGCCTCCAGAGTAGCTGGGATTACAGGTTCATACCACCCCACCTGGCTAATTTTTGTATTTTTTAGTAGAGATAGGGTTTCGCCATGTTGGGCAGACTGGTCTTGAACTCCCAACCTCAGGTACGCCTGCCTTGGCCACCCAAAGTGCTGGGATTACAGGTGTGAGCCACCACATCTGGCCAACCCATTTTTTTCTAATTGGGTTCTTGTCTTTCTTATTAAAGGATCTGTTTGCATATTGTGGATATTAATCCTTTGTTAGGTTTGTTGCAAAGCTTTCCTGCAAGTTTGTTTTTGGTTATTTGTTTATTCATCTGATATGTACTGAGCACCTACTCTGTGGCAGAGACTGCTAGGAGCTGCAAATAAAGTAGTGAATGAAGCAGATACAGTCTCTGCCCTTAAGCTATTTCTAATTGAACAGAAATTCAAACAAAAGTAATTTTAAAGTGTGACAAAGGCTAAGAAGGAATTTAGCAAAAGGGTGGGACAGAAGGGGATCCCCTTTTGGTGGGGTGATCATGAAAGGCCTCTCTAAGTTAATTAACATTGAAGACGGCATTGAAGGATGAGAAAAAGCCAGTCATGTCATGAGTGGAGGGACAAGCATATTACAAAGGACCAAAGTTGTAAAACTTGGTACATTCAATAAATTGAAAGATCACATTCCCAAATCATAATTGGCAAGGAGGATAGTGATGGGAGATGAGTCAGAAGAGGTTGATGGGGCCTCATAGGACAAGGTTAAGGAATTTGATTTTATTATAAGAGAAATGTATAATTATATTTTATGTATATATATACACACACACATACATATATATATATATATATATATATATAATCATTACTATTTTTTTTAAGTGACAGGATCTTGCTCTGTTGCCCAAGCTGGAGTGCGTGGTGCAATCACAGCTCACGGTAACCTCAAACTCCTGGACTTAAGCGATCATCCCACCTCATCCTCCCCAGTAGCTGGAACTACAGACATGCACCACCACACCTGGCTAATTTTTAAATTTTTTGTAAAGACAGAATCTTGCTATGTTGCCCAGGCTGGTCTTGAACTCCTGGCCCCAAGCAACCTATTTATATTTTAAGGAAGATTCTCATGGCAGCTGTGACAATGGATTACAGAAGGGAGAGATCAGACAGCAGGCTACCGTGTTATTGACAGAAGTTAGGATAATGGCTTGTACCACGTGGTGACAGTGAGCATAATAAGAAGGCAGATTTCAGGTGTGTTTTTTGCTTGTTTTTGTGTTTTGTTTTGTTTGCGAGACAGAGTCTTGCTTTGTCACCCAGGCTGGAGTGCAGTGGCCTGATCTCAGCTCACTATAACCTCCGCCTCCCAGGCTCAAGTGATTCCCCTGCCTCAGCCTTCTGAGTAACTATGATTACAGGTGCCTGCCACCACGCCTGACTAATTTTTGTATTTTTAGTAGAGACAGGATTTCACCATGTTGGCCAGGCTGGTCTTGAACTCCTGACCTCGTGATCCGACCACCTGGGCCTCCCAAAATGCTGGGATTACAAGAGTGAGCCACCGAGCCTGGCCTTGGGTATGTTTTGAAACAGTTCAAAATGATTTGTTAAGGAACTGAGTGGATGGCAAGGAAGAGGAAGAAATCAAGAATAATTCCCCATTTTCTTGCTGCTGAACTTACTGGGTGCTGGTCGTGCTATTTAAGGAGGTAGGGAAGACCATCACGGGAAGGGGACAGATTTGAAAAGGAACCAAGGCTTCAGTTTTTTACTTGTTGATTGCATTAACACATTAAATCTTCACCCCAACTCTATATGTACTATCATTCACTCTGCTTTAAAGATGAGAAAACTGATCCAGAGAGAAATTAAGTAGCTTGCTAGGGTTATAAATGATAAAGCCAGAATCTATTGATCTCTCTCTCCATTTTCCACTCCTTCCCTCCACCCAATCATTTATCTTTTTATTGAGACAGACTCTCACTCTGTCGCCCAGGCTGGAGTGCAGTGGCACGATCATGGCTCACTGCAGCCTTGATCTCTCTGGCTCAAGTGATCCTCTCACGTCAGTCTCCCAAGTAGCTGGGACTACAGGCACGTACCACCACACCCTGCTAATTTCTGTATTTTTTAGAGAGATGGGGGTCTCACTATGTTGCCCAGGCTGGCCTCAAACCCCTGGGCTCAAGCAATCCTCCTGCCCCAGCCTCCAAAAGTGCTGGGGTTACAAGCGTGAGCCACTGCACCTGGCCGTTTAAATCCTCATCCATCCATTCATTCTTCGAATCACCCATCGCCTCATCTTCTTAGTTCCCCACTTAATTCACCCATCCATCTCTTCATCCACTCATGCAATCATCCATCCGTCCTCCCCAATAAATATTCACCACTTGCCAGCTTCCTCAGGCACCTGATACCTGCTGTGCAGGAGGAAAGTCAGGGATGAGAAGGCATGAGACAGATATACTGGCATGCAGCTCAGCTTAAGATATTTATTCAATGCTCTCACATTTGGCCTCTGCAACCCAGAAAAGGGGTAGAGCAGGGTAGGAGCACATGATGCATCCTTCAGACACTGCAACCTCCAGGAGGATCAGGTCATCTTCAGGATGTCTTCATTCCCCGTGGATGACTGATCAGTCATAACTGCAAGAGACAGATACTTAGCACTTCCGTTTGCAGACCAACCACCCACCCTGACTGCCCTCATCCCATGAGGATCCAGGTGCCTCTGCCCCAAGAAGCCTGATTTCCACACTACATCCCTCACCATGGGGAGAAGTCCTGCGCTCTCCATTTCTCCACCGCTGGCTTCTGCTGTGAGTTATGCCCATCGTTGGTCTGGTCCCCGTCAAAGTTTCCACAGGCCCCACACAGTTTCCCAGCATGGTCATTGCTGACCATCACAGCCAGCTTCCCATCGGCTCCTAGCCACACCTGGACCCCTGCCTCCTGGCGGACTAGCAGGGAGCCATCAGGTGTACGACTCACGGACACAGATGCTAACTTCTCGGCTGGGAGATCCACTCGGAGACCATTCACCTGGTGGGGGGCAGGCAGCAAACACAGAGGTGAGGCCACAGCCATAGAAAAGCTGGGTGTTACCAGGATGGAGAGACCCCAAACAAGATAAGTTCGTGGAGCTAAATCAATGAGATCTGGATGTTTGCACTATTTGGAGCAATGGATACGTGAGAAGATAGCTGGACAACTGAATAGATGGATAGAGTGGAGAGTGGAGGGATGGAGAGATGGACCCATGGACCTACACAACGCCCCAAAGTCTGTCAAACAATCAAGCCCCAGGGTCATCCTGTATGGTTCTAGTTTTCTTTTTCTTTTCTTTTTTTTGGGGGGTGGGTCTCACTCTGTCGCCCAGGCTGGAGGACAGTGGCGCAATCTCGGCTCACTGCAACCTCCGCCTCCCAGGTTCAAGCAATTCTCTGCCTCAGCCTCCTGAGTAGCTGAGATTACAGGCACCCACCACCACACCCAGCTAATTTTTGTATTTTTAGTAGAGATGGGGTTTCACCATCTTGGCCAGGCTGGTCTTGAGCTCCTAACCACATGATCTGCCCGTCTCAGCCTCCCAAAGTGCTGAGATTACAGGCCAGAGCCACCATGCCTGGTCTTTCTTTTCTTTCTTTTTTTTTTAAGATAAAGTTTTGCTGTGTCATCCTGGCTGCAGTGCAGTGGCGCAATCACAGCTCACTGCAGCCCTGACCTCCTAGGCTCAATCAGTCTTCCCACCTCAGCTTTCTGAATAGCTGAGACTACAGGACTAGAGGTGTGCACCACCACAACCAGCTAATTTTTGTATTTTTTCTGTAAAGATGGGCGCTCTCACTATGTTGCTAGGCTGGTCTTGAACTTCTGGACTCAGGTGATCTGCCTACCTCAGCCTGGTTCTAGTTTGCAAAATAAAACAAACTTTGAGCACATCCTGTAAGTTGCTGGTTCCCTAACCAAAGCAACGTTATCTTTTATTTTTGCAATGCTGATGTCTGAAGATAAGTAATGACTTTAGCAAATATAATAATCATCTGAGAAAATTACTTTTTCTTCATTATGGGCTGCAGACCCAGTAACTTTGTGAGTTTTTTTCCTTTAAATAACTGTTGTCTATGTTAGTTGGTGAATTAACCCTTCTAAAGTTAGATTCCCTAGAGAAACTTCCTTGAAAGAGTTCTCTTTTTTTTTTTTTGTAAGTGCTTTGTTTGTTTGTTTTGAGATAGAGTGTTGCTCTGTCACCCAGACTGGAGTGCAATAGTGTGATCTCAGCTCACTGCAACCTGCACCTCCCGGGTTCAAGCAATTCTCCTGCCTCAGCCTTCTGAGTAGCTGGGACTACAGGCATGTGCCATCATGCTTGGCTAATTTTTTTATTTTTAGTAGAGACAGGGTTTCGCCATGTTGGCCAGGCTGGTCTCTAACTCCTGACTTCAAGTGATCTGCCTGCTTTGGCTTTCTAAAGTACTGGGATTACAGGCATGAGCCACCATGCCCGACCCTCTAAATGCTTTTGTATTGGAGTTTTCCTCTGCATACATGCAGAGGAAAATGTAAAAAAGAAGATTGGAGAGACAGGTAGATAGATCTGAAATGACAGGTGGGTGGATGGGTGGGTGAATGGATGGATGGATGGATGGATGGAAGAAAGAAAAAAGAAGAAGGCAAGAAGTAAGGAAATAGGAAAAAGAGAAAGGGGGTAGAATAGATGCTGGATGAAGGGAGGAGAAAAAGGAGGATGGGCGTAGTGAAGGATAGATGAAGACTAGTGGATGGGAAGTCTCAGTAGGGTAATGTATAACTGAGTCTGAGCCATCTCTGTTATCCAGCACATGGCTTGGCACAAAAGGAGCAAGGCTAAGTTTATTCACAAAACCCTCTAGGTGCCATGCCCTGATCTGGGTACCAGTGACCAAGATGGACAGGATCCCTGCCTACCTGAGGCTTATAGTCCAGTGATGAACAAAGATGCTGAACATCTTCTGGGAGTTTCCTTCTAGGAGTCTGGAACTTTGGTAGGTGGATACCGAAATTCCAAAACCCAGGCACTGAGACACTAATGAACTTCCCTGGTAGACAACATTTCATGTTTCATCGCAACTTATTGCTGGAGGAATTAAGCACATCCTGCGTGATTCTACCGAGAAAGGACTCTCAGAAGCTTGCACCTGATTTCCCCTGAACTTTGCATGATGCACCTTTTCTGTTTGTTGATTTCACGTCGTATCTTTTCCCCATGACACATCTTAGCCCTAAGTACAACTATATGCTGAGTCCCATGAGTCCCAGTGAATCACTGAACCTGGGGGTGGTTATGGGAAACCCTGACACATGATGTGACCCCCCCCAGCCTTGATCAATCACAGAACTTCCTCCCTGAAGTCACAGTGATTGGCTCCAGGGGTGGGCATGTGCCCCAAACTAGCCCAGGGAGATATAATCCTCGGTCTTTTGTTGAACCATTTTCTGCTAGGGTAGCTAAGCTGGTGGGGTGCAGTCCTGGGCAACTGGGGGGTTGTCTTTACCCCTGCAAGTGGAAAGCCTGTTTGATAATAAGCTGATTTGGCAAATAGCAAGTCTCAAAGACAGAAGTACAAATTTCTGATAATATTGCCAGGGCACCTAGATTCAGCCATTCCTGAGGCTCCATCCTTGGATTTTCTTGTTACACGGACCAATAAATTCAATTTTGCTTAAGGCAGCTTGAATTTGGTTTTAAGTCACTTGCAATCAATAAAGTCTCAATTCATACTAACGTCAAGACTATTAAGTTACTTGAGTATGTTTTTGCTCCTCAAGAACTCAGCCAGAACAAAGGGACTAAGTTTGAAATACTGAGATGAAAACCAATCCAGAGACCAAACTGCAGAGACACGGATAAAGAAAACAGATTGCCAGACAGAAAAGAAGCCAGGAATGTGGGGACGCTATAATCAGAAGAGCAAAAGCCCAGGGAAGACATTCCCCAGCCCCTACTCACAAACTTACCCACACACCCTTGTTTGGGGTCACTGTCACCATCCCATCCTGGAAGAAGATGTGGACCTGGCCCACAGCCTCAGCTTTACCATGGCAGGTCTGGACATCAGCAACCACACGGTACCAGGGGATGGTCTTCTCTAGTCCTGGGCAGCGGGAAGAGAGCTCATAGACACCAGAAGAGGTGATGGCACCATGGGCACCATCAAAGGTGGTGAGGTTGGCACCCACAGACAGGAAACAGAGACCACGGGGAGCCCAGCAGTCCCGGGCTTCAGCCTGGACCTCACATATATGGCCTGGTGGGCAGCCAGCTGCCTGGCATGTCAGGCCAGAGCTTGGGGAACAGGAACAGCGCTCACTGCAGTCTGAGGTCAGCAGGGAGGAGTTCACCTGTGCACAGAAAGGGGCCAGGTTATGGCGGTGTGATGGATCGCAAAAATGGCCACACTCCTTGAACCCTCTGTTTTTATGCAGAATGATTTTACAGACTCCCATTAAGAAATAGAGTTTATTTCTCCCTCCCTGTGAATCTGGGTTGGCCATAAGACTATATTTAGTTCAATGACACACAGAAGAAGCAATGTTGTGCCAGGTTTAAGCCTAGACCTCAAGACATCTTACGGCTTCTCTTTCTCTCTCTCTCACCGAGATACATAGAACCTCACCCAGCCACCATGACAACAAGCCTGGGCTAGCTCCCTAGAAGATGAGTAACATAGATAACGGAACATAGATAACTATTCCAGCTCAGGCCACCCTAGACCAGGCAGCCTTCAGCTGATCTACCAGGTGATTACAGACATTATACATGAGTAAGCCCAGGGGATAGCAGAAGAACCGCCCAGCCAAGCCCAGCCTCACTGCAGTCACAAAATTGCAAACGAAATGAATAATTGTTGTTTTAACCCACCACATTTTGGAGTGATCTGTAACCTAGCAAAAGCTAACTGATACAGGTAAGAAATGAAGAAATGTAACTAACAACATAAATGCCATCTCTACACTGATGATTCCCACATCTCTAGGCCATACCTGTCCCTTGAATACCAAACTCACAAATCCAGGAAGATTTCTGGCATAGGCAGAGGGGTCAGGGCAGGGATGGGGAAGCATAGGGAGCTGTAGGGGTTTAGAGGAGGCACCTAACCCGGCCTAGGGGATCATGGTTGGCTTCCAGTGGGCAGTGAGACCTGAAGAAAAGAGCAAAATTTGGCTCCATGTGCAAGCAATGCAAGTTAGCATAGTGTGCTAATGGGTAGCCTTGGGCTGACTTCTCTATGTCACAATTTCTTCATCTGTAAAATGGGGAAAATAGCCATAGTATCTATTGCATAGGATTTCCGTGATTATTAAATGAATTGTCATCCATAACATGGCTGGGAGAGGTGGCTCATCCCTGTAATCCCAACACTTTAGGAGGCCAAGCCAGGAGGATCACTCGAGCCCAGGTGTTTGAGACCAGCCTGGGTAACATAGCAAGACCACATATCTACAAAAAAAATAATCAGCCAGGCGTGGCAGTGTGAGACTGTGGTCCCAGCTACTCAGGAAGCTGAGGCAGGAAGATCACATGAGCCCAGGAATTCAAGGCTGCAGTGAGCCATGATCACACGACTGCACTCCCACCTAGGAGGCAACATGCAATCCTATCTCAATCAACAAATAAATAAAAATAAAATAACACGCATAACAAACATGGTGCACGGTAAGAGCTGAAAAATCATTAACAAGAATAAATCAATTCTGCTGTTCAATTCACATTATTAAACAAGTATTAGGTGGGCCACCTATTTGCACTGTTGTAAACTGCTATTTCTTTTTACCAAGTGTGATGAACATGTAGGGCAAGGCCTAGTGCTCAGTGGGTATCTTTCCTGCATAATTGAGTGTGATCCTCAGCCACCTATGCCACTAAGATGGGTGATTAGCCCCGTTTTACAGGTGAAGAAAATGACGTTCAAGGAGGGCCCAGATGATGCCCCCACTCCAAGATATCAAGTCCTAATCCCCGTAATGAATAAATGTTACCTTATACGGGAAAAGGGTGTTTGCAGATGAGATGGAATTAA